AACAACAGCAACTTATCTGTTCCCCTTCCCCCCAATTCCTCAGTGCTATTCCCATCCCCCAATTCCCCAATAAAAAAATCTTTAAAAAAAACCAAAACAAAACAAAAAACCCTGTTCCTTGATATTGCTGCACAGCAACGGAATCAATACTAACAGCAACTACCTATCCTGAACTTTTGGATGCATGAAGAAAAAAACATCTATTTGATCACTTCCTTGACAGACAAGTTTATTTACAACCAGAAGCATTTCTAACTGATACAATATCCATAGCACAGTCAACATGTTAGTAACATTAGTCAAAGATCCCAATGAAACAGATTATTAACTGTCTCCAGGCGATCAGAAAAATGGACACTTACCCATGCTAGGTGTGGTTCCTCCTTCTAATAAGCCAGAACATAATTCAATCCGACCAGCACCTGTGATAAAAAAGCATTGTTCAGCATAAATTTTTAAAAAATATAAAAAGATATGTCAGGGCCGGCCGAGTGGCAAGCTGGTTAAGAGCTGGTTTGGGACACCAGCTCTGAGGAGCAGGGCCCGGGTTCGGATCCCACATGAGGGCGAGTGACACTGCCCTCTACAGCTAAGATGGTGAGCAGCAGCTCGACCTGGAGGCTGGGCTGCCATGAGTTGACGGCGTAGGCTGCAGCCCCTGCTGCAGTGGGCTGCCATAAGCTATCGTGTGTGGCTGGCAGCCAGAGTGAGCAGCCGACAGCCAGTGTGAGCTGCCAAGAGCCGCAGTGAGCGGCCGTCCAGATGCCAGCTATCGATCTGCCTCACCCAGGAAGAGTACAATGATAAAACCAACATGGGCCAGTAAAGCAACGTCCTCCACGAGTAGACTGAAAAACAAAAGGACAGCAACTGTCTGTTCCCCTTCCCCAACTCCCCAGCACTGTTTCCCTCCCCAATTCCCCAATAAAAATCTTAAAAAACAAAAACAAAAAAAGACATGTCAAACAAATAAAATGTTTGGATTTTGATTCAAAGAACTGTAAAACAAAACAAAATAAAACAGTAAGAGCTAATAGGAGAAATCTGAAAACTGTGTATTTTTGATATTAAGAAATTATTTTTTAAGAGATGTTAGTGATATTGTGTTTTGTTTTGAAATGAGTCCTTTTAGAGGTACATACTGAAATATTTGAAGATGAAATCCCAGAAGATGTCTGGGATTTGCTTCAAAATAATCTAGCAGTGGGGGAGGGAAGGTAAGAATATATTGGGTCGTCAGGAAAGTCACGACGTTATTTTTCTATTTTTCTCAATGCAAAAATGCATCATGACTTTCCCAACGACCCAACAGATCAGGACTAAGCAAACTATGGCCCAGAGGTTCAGAGTACAAAAGAAACATTGAGGTAAAAATAATGCTAAAAAAAAAAGATGATAGCAGTCCTAATAATGAAAATGCCAACAAATCTCTACAGTCATCTTTAAATCAATGGTTTGAAAAAAATTAAATCTTTGCTAAGTTCAATAAAAAAATGTAGTTTTGAGTAAGCATTATGAGTAAGCATAATGAGTAAGCATTATTGTGGATACTTGACTCAAAATGTGACCTACTAAGGGTATAAGATTAGAAGATCATAATTTTCTAGTAGATTTTCCAGTTGGTTAGTTGTTTTCAAAAGGATTACTAGAATCCTTCCAGATCACAAAGGCTGCCAAGGTCAGTCCACAGGATTCATTTCCAGACTCTTAAAAGGACTGTCAACTGTCATTCATTCTCTAATTTCTCTTACCTCCTCTTTCTGCATTTATAGCTGATTCCACTGAATCCACACACACTTCCATGAGAAATCCATTTGCTGCTCCTAAATACATTAAAAACAATGTAATTTCATGATGGTACTACCCATCCAGACCAATCTACCACAAACATTTTACATTTTGCTGTCAAAATCCAAATGTCCAATAATAGAGAAGTAGATTAGTACACTAGGGCCCTTGAATGCAATAAAATACCCTATTAATTATTTAATTGATGGCTTTGGACTGTGAAATAACACAGACATATGTATAAAAAATTATACTGAGAAAAATATACACTGAATGCCAAATGAACCTTCCTAAATCACAGACTTCATCATCACATTCCAGGTTAAGATTCTTTCAATGCTTCTCGATGCCTGCAGAATATGCTTAAACTTCTTTATAAGGAATATATATATGTTCAAGAGCAGGGATAAACTTCAAATCCTGACCCCATCACTTACTTGTATGATTCTGGACAAGTTACTTAGCCTATGTCTTCTATAAAACTGTAGGTTTTAGTACCAACCTCAGAGTAATGATAAAGATGATAATTCATGTGAAGTGGATAGTACCCACTAAGTGTGTAAAAAGTATGTTTCATCGATTAACTACACATTATTTTCTCTATCTGCCTCCAATTCTCTCTAAACCCCATCTCTGTTCTTGCTTATGCCATCTCCTCAATCCAAAGTCCTCAGCTCCATTTGAATGCTAAACTCTTCCAAGACTCATATCAAATCACATTTCCATGATATTCCCTCTCCCAAAGTAGGTAATTTTATCTCCGTTTTTCGAACTCATATAAGTCTATATGTTACATGTTCTTCTTTAAAACACTAATTTTATCTCTTTGAAACACTAATTATTTTCTTTTTCTTATTTTTCTTATGTAGATAGGTGCCTGATCCTTCTTACTTGGCCTAAAGCTCTTAAGTAAGGTCTTTATGTGAGAAATACTAACAGCAGTTAGTGTTGACCATGATACACAGCAGTCAGGCAAAGATTTACTAAAGGCTGAATAATTATAAATCCATAAAAAGTCATGTAAAAAAAGAGGTTTGAGTTTTTCCTGTAAGTTAAGAACACTTTTTTTTTTTAATTAAGACTACTGAATACATACTTCACGCAACACCTGAAAGAATGTTCACCACATACTGATAAGGATTACAACTAGGTGCTGGGGTTTGGAACGACTTTTACTCTTCTTTTTACTTTTCTATATTGCTTGATTTTTTTCCTACCCAATATTGCTTCTATAATTTAAAAAAAAATCAATTTTAATTTGAAAAACAAAAATCATCTAACATCACATTGCAACAGTCGCATATATTTAAAAGAAGTCTCAAACTGTGAAAGAGTTAACTGCTACTCCATGCTCTTAACCAATAACGCTGCCTTAATTCCATGAGTTTCCTGATAGCACCCATACCAACTGTCGGTCAATCTAACTGGGCAATGCTGCAGGGGTACAAGCTGCCTCATGCAAGAAAGGGCCTTGGCTAGGAGAGGGTGGGGATGCACACAAAAGGGTGTAACAGAAGACAGGATAAGGCAGTTGTCCTAAGAAAGAAGTTATTTGCAGGAATCAAAGACATTTGTTGGGAGCAGCAGTTCTCAAAGTGTGGTAGCCTAGTTAGCTCTGAGGGTCTCTTAGATCCTTTCAGAGTCTGTGCAGTGAAAATTATTTTCATAGTAATATTAAGACTTTATTTGCCTTTTTCACTCTCATTCTCACAAGTGCAGTTTTCCAGAGGCTGCCTGACATGTCACAGCGAATACAGAAGCAAGTATGGGAATACAAGTATGAGAATTCCGTTAAGTCAAATACTAAAGAGATCTGCAAAAATACAAAACATCGGCACTACTCTATTTTGTTGAGGAAAATAGTTCGTTTTCATAAAAAAAAATGTTATTTGCGTTAACATGTAATGGGTGTATTACGGTTATTTTCTAGTTAATTAATAAACACTTAAAATGTTTTAATTTTTAATACGGTCAATATCAATAGATTCAACCTATATAAATAAAAGGTCTTTGAGATTCTCAATAATTTTTAGGAGGGTAAAGGGGTCCTGAGACCAAAAAGTTTGAGGACCGATCGTTTGGAGGAACCGAGTTTACAGACGAGGGGTCTGCCAAATTCCCTAACACCCGCCATACCATCCTATTCTGGCGCGATAGGAAGAACTCGGGACTTGGGACAGCCACAAGCTCTGCCAGTAGGTAAGCTGTGTGGCTTTTGGGACAATTCCCACCCCCGCTGTGTCAGCTACAGGTTACTGAGCGGTCACCACCAGGTTAGGCACTGTGCCTAGCACTCGACATTTAACTATCACAGAGAAGCCATGAGCTGGGTACTGGGATCCTCGTGTGGCTACGGGAAAGGGGAGGCTGAGAGAAGCTGAACCAACGTGAACACAGTCACACGACGATTTGTGATGGCGCCAGAATTCAAACCCACACATCTGGCTCCAGGGCCCGGCCACTCTACTTACATGCCATTTCTCAGCTCCCACGCTCCCCCCACCCCACCCCCCGTTTCCACGTGTTTAAAGCGGGAACGACAGAACGTGCCGCGCAGAGGGTTCAGTGGGAAATCAATCGCAAGCGATCCACTGGCCAGAGCCCCCGCCGGCCCATCCCTGGGAGTGAGGTCTACCGTCCGCCCCCCTCCCCGCCCCCTTCCGCACCGGCCTTCCCAGACGGTATCCGCGCCCGTTTCCGCCCCGAGGAGGCCGCCTGCCTCTTCATGCTCCACGCGTTCCTCCCTCGCGCGTCTTCGGTTTCCACTCACTGTCCCGATTCCGTAGCGCACGATCAGCTAAGCGCATCCGCCTGCTGAGCCCGCCTTCTGCGCGTCCCCGACGTCCACGCCCCAGCAGCCCTCGCGAAAGCCAAGTCGCTAGCGCAGGCGCAGGCGCAGTCGCTGCTCGCCCCCTCCCGAGGAGGGTCTCGCTGAGTAACCCGGAAGTGCTTCTCGTTTCGGTAGCAGTGGGAGGAGAGCGCAGCGTGCTGGAGTGTGGAGTGGCGGCTGTTCCCTGTCCTCAGTATGCAGAGCTTACTCTCTCCGCCCTTGAAGGCCTTGATGAGGAGCCCGCATCTCCGACTCCTGGTTCCTCGGGCGGCGCCTAGCACACAGGTACCGCGCCGCAGCGGACTGAGTCGCGGAAGCGTGCATAGGGAGAAGGAGCCTGGAGCGCCTTCCGTAGCTCCTCAGAGTTCAAAACGCATGTCCTTGTATCCAGAGCCTCTGAGCTCTGAACCGCTTACTAGCTGTGTGATATTAGCCAAGTTAGGTAACCGTTCTGTGCCTCAATTTCCCCATGCATGAAAATGGGGATAACGATATTTTATAAGATTGCTGGGAGGATTAAATTTAATAAACGTCATGCACTTAACACATCATAAAAGCTCAGTAAGTTTTACCCAAATATTTGGTTTTTGCCAAAAGCCCCCAGGTACTCAGGTTAGGGATTATAACCCCTTTCTACAAGGGGAAATGGAGGCGTAATTTAAGTTGTCTGAAGTTAGTTAATTAGAAGCAGGAAACCAAATACGGGTCTTTGGACTCTGGAATAGAGTGAGAAGAGGGTGTGCATTTGCTCAAATGATAATTACTCTGATTATCATGTGTTAGGAACCAGGAAGCAAAAGATAAATACCTAAAAGCTACTGCCTTGGAGGAAGCTACAATTTATTCATATGTAATTCATTTGTCAAATCTTTATTAAGGTCTTGATATGTAAAGGTGCTGTGTTTGAAACGAAACAGGAGGGACAGAACCAGACTGACCACTGTTGTCCCACAGCTCATAGTTTAGTGGGAGATAGAGAGGAACCTGAAGTGTATTAAGGATTGATAGAGGAGGTAAAATGTGCCAAGAGTGACCTGTTGCAGACCTGGAATAATCTGGGAACGCTTCCTAGAGGAGGTGACATCTAAGCTGAGATCTAGAGTAGGTACCGGTACTGAACTCAGGCTCAGCTGCTTGCTGCTTGAGCAATGCTTGAGAGACAAGGGTTGGTGGGAAGAAAAGTTGATTCAAAATGCCAGCATTCCTGGAACATGGTGGACTGTTGTCTCAAAGGCCACCTTCCCCATTCCTAGACGGGTCAGAAGGTTTTATAGGTACACAAGAAGAAGGACAAAGGAAAGGGGACGTTAATCAGGAGACTCATCCAGGAGAATGTCTCTTGGGGTCCGGTTTGTTGTGATGCTTATCTTGAACCTGGGGTGATTCATATGTCATCTGATAGAAAAATCACAGTCCAGAATTGCAGCCTGGTTGCAGTTTCTACCACATCTGTAGTTACTTCTTCCACTGAAGTCTTGAATCCCTCAATGTCATCTATGAGGTTTGGAATCAACTTCTTCTAAACTCCAGTTGATGTTTCCACCTCTTCCCATTAATCACAAATGGCCTACATGGTATCTAGAATGGTGAATGCTTTCCAAAAGGTTTTCAATTTGCTCAATGCAGGGTTTCCACAAACCTTCAATTTGTACAAAATGCTGTATCTGCAACATAAAATTGGAGTGCAATAAAACAAAGTATGCCTGTATTATCAAGTGAGACAAGTAGTGTCCAAGTCAGAGAGAAATATGTTTAAAGATCCACAGAAGAAATAAAATAATTCATATCTAGCTGTAGAGTTAAGTCGGGGAAGTACGCCAGAGACCAGAAGGTTCATGTAGTATGGGGATGAACTGGAGTGAGGCCACGACTGGAGGCAGGAAAACCAGCTGGGAGGTAAATGCAGGATGTAGTAATCCAGTTAAAAGATGATTGGCCAGGGCAGCTGTGGCGATGTGGCCATACAGACTCCACAGAGTGGGACTGAGTGTGAGTAGCAGTGGGGTGAGGTCTTGCCCTCTTTCTCCAGTTGTAATTTATCTATCTTAATCCTTAGTGTGGTTGCAGCTGTGGGATCAGGAGCACCTTAAGGCCAGGGCAGTACAGCACCATCTCTGAAGTAGCTTTACAATCTGGAAGGGGTACAGTGTCCCTTCCTTCAAAGGCTGCTGAGCGAGTAGTGGGCCGATGGCTCCTGGTCTGCAGTGGAACAGTGGCTGGAGCTGTTATCCTTGGTGGAGTAACTAGGTGAGTAATTTGCTCATAGTGTGTCACCTATTTGGGTCATCAGTAGAGGCACAGGATGACCAAGGGGGAAGGGACCCTAGGAATGATGTAGTCTAGCTCTCTCGTTTTACATGTGCAGAAACTGAGACCCAAAGAGGGAATATGTCTGCTGGCCTGCCCTGTCATAGAACAGTTTAGGGTTTTTATTAGAAGAAGCTCTTCACAAAGACTGGTTTAGGTCTTAACTGTTAGCTGTGCATTGTGTACATTTCTCCCTACAACCACTTGAAATTTGTGTCAACATTTTATGTATAGTTTGCTTGAATTAAACTGAAATAAGTTCCATACATCACAATTGGTTCATATGCCTCTTGGGTTTCTTTAAACCTATAAAGAGATTATCGATTTAGATTCTATTCTCTCCCCTCCCCCGCTGCCCCTTTGCACTTTTGTTGAAGAAACCAAATCATTTATCCTATGGAGTTTCCCACAGCCTGGATTTTGCTGATTGCATACTTGTAGTGGTGTTTAACATGTCCCATTGTCCCTTGTATTTCCTGTAAACTGGTTGTTGCTTGATCAGATTCAGGTTGGGGCGAGAGGGCAAAATACTTCATAGGTGATTATAGCTTTCATAAATATCTGGTGTCTATTAGAGATGTCAACCACCATTGATGATCATTACCTAGATCCATTATTTCATTAAAGTTGCAAAACTATAATAATAGCTCAACTCTAAAGAGAAACTTTCCCTCATCAACAATTTGGTTACCATAAATACAGCATATATAGGAAAGGCAGGATAAATACGTGATTCTTTGCCTTTACCAGTTTTCAAAATAATGACTTGGTTCCCAAGCATCCTCCACAGGTAACCAGTAAAGTGTTTGGGTTTTTAAGTGTCGTTATGCGTTCATAACTTTTAAACATACTTGATATGTTTCAGTCCATTACAGTGATGATGATTTGTTCAAATTGTCCATCTTTAGTTGCTGGGAACCCCTCGTATTGGCTCCAGAGTTGTTTTGAAAGGATGCTAGTCACCTTTGATTCCATGCTTTCTGGATGATAAGATGTTCCAGGCTATTGTACATTTCTGCCTCAGGCCTGAAATCAGCCTTTACTTTAGGAATCCTAACTCCTTTTGGTGAAAAGTACTTGGTGGTTTTAAAAAAGTATGTGTTCTCAAATTCTATCCACATTCCCTGCACCCTTATTTAAAAATACCTTGTAACAACCTAACATAGGCTGTTACTGGAAACTGACAAATTTGAGTTTTATTATCTTTAAATTCGATAATAACCTAAACTGTTATTATATTTCTTATAATAACCTAAACTGTTATTATATTATATGTCTTAAGAACCTAAACTGTTTTCTACCTATATCAAATCTCTTTCCCTTGTGTAGATAATGTTGGTTATGCATTTAGGGCACATTTCTTTGATCTAAGGGTGATTAAGCTGTTGCTATGAAAATTCTAAGCTGTAAGAAGAGAAGATGTCAGAAAGGAAACAATGAAACGATGTGTTTACCTTTAGAGGGGCTAAGTTCAGATCCACTTGTTGCTGTAAACCATTTATGAGTAATCCAGCATCTTCTCTCTCTCTCTCTCTCTCTCTCTCCACCCCCCCCCCATTTCTTTCCTATCCTAAGGTTGACAGAGTCTGGCCTCTCAATGGTAGATTGGCATTTAGTAAAGGAGATGAAGCCGCCTACAAGCCAAAAGGAATGGGAAGCAGAATTCCAAAAATACCAGCAATTTCCAGAATTTAAAATGTAAGTATTATAGAAAATCAGGTAAACATCCCATGAGGCCCACTCGATCTTTTGCTTATTTAAACATTTCTAAATGGTTAGATTCCATTATTTCTTGATATTTAGCTCAGTTAACGTTTAGTGAGCTCCCTGCTCTAAACCTCCCGATTCCAAAGCGATCCTGAGGTCACTGATGGAGAAGGGGGCAGACCTAGCAAGCTTCAGGACAGAACGTTCCTGCATTCCATTGGGAAATAAAAATCAGACAGATATTTCCTCTTGTTTTTGACTTCCCTTTTCACCCAGCTTGAATCATGATATGACATTGGCAGAATTCAAGTTCATCTGGTACATGGAGTACTCACACCGAATGTGGGGTCGCCTTGTAGGCCTCGCGTACATCTTGCCTGCTGCCTACTTTTGGAGAAAGGGCTGGCTCAGCCGCAACATGAAAGGACGTGTTCTTGCCCTCTGTGGTTTAGTCTGCTTCCAGGTGAGATTTATTTCAGTTTGGGAAAACCAGAGATTCCTCCAAGAGCTTCCTAGTTGGCATTGTTTGTAAGGAAGTAATCTTATAACAGAGTAGGTGAGAGCATGGATTTTTAGTGGAATGTGCCTGGCTTCAAGACCCAGCTCTGCCACTTAGTAGGACAAGTTTTAGCCTCTGTAGACTATGCTTTCCTTACCTGTAAACAGGGATAGTAACAGTGCCTACCAGTTAGGGTG